AAAAAAAAAAAAAAAAAAAAAAAAAATGAAGAAATGAAAAAAAATAATCATATTAAAAAAAAAATTTTAGCTTAATAGTACTAAATATTTTAAAGTTGTAAAAATAGAATGAAACATTATACTTTATTTATCATTATTATTTTAAACGATTGAAACTATATATATATTTTTTTGATCATTTAGTGAATTTTTTAATGTAAAATGGTTTCCATTATATTTGAGTTTTTCTTATTATAATTTACTTTTAAAAAAAAACAAAAATTTTTTTTTTTTTTTTGGAAAAAAAAAAAAAGTAAAGCATGTACCATATTTTTTTTTATGTTTTTATTTTTAGGATATTGGGTTTTTGATTAAAAATTTGTTTTCTTTTCATTAATTTTTATAAAAATGTAAAGTAGAATCAATGCTTTAAAATATATATAATTTTTTTTTTTCAGTAAAATTAAAATAAAAATTTTATATGCCATATACTGAAACAAAACAGAAGATAAGCAAATTCTTTTTGAAAATTAAGAAAAAAGAAAAAAGAACAGTAGCATAATTAGGAAAATAGTAAAGAGAAAAAATTTTTATTTTTATTTATTTTGATATATTTAAAATGTTTAAAAACAAATAATTCTTATAATGATGAAATTAACAAATTTTTTTTAAAGAGTTTCTATTTGTTAAATATTTGAATTAAATTTAGTTCCATTTCTTTATAAATTAAATTACTGTTGACTGTTTTAGTAATAAAATTGCGTTCTTTTTCATGTAATTCTTTCTTTTTTAATTCTAGAAATATTAATATACTAAACCATTTTATTTTTTAAAAAAATAGTTAAAAAGAAAGAAAGAAATTATCATAAATTTCCTCAAAAAAAAAGTCCATTTTTAACATTTCATAAATGATTCATGATTTTTCGTTTATGTTGTATTTGACAAAAAAGATGTATTAATAAGAATGCTTTATTCTATTTTTTTTTTTTTTTTTTTTATTCTATTAATTTTACTATATAATTACTAAATAAAAATCAAAGAAATAAGAAAGTTTGTGCAAATTTGTGCTTTTTATTATTTCTTTTTTTCTTATTAAAACAATTTGTTACAATATATGTGATATTACTTGTGTCTAACTTTTAACGCATAATAATTTTAACGTAAAAAAGTTTTTTTTTTTTTTTTTTATAATAATATTTTATATGGAATTATTTTTATTTCTACAATTTTGTTTTATTTATTTTTATTTATAATTTGTGAGAGAGAAAAAAAAAAAATTTAATAAACATGTTTCGTTAATATTTATTCTTTGTAAGTTATTTGTGTATATATATTTTTTTGAAAGTTAAAAATATAATTAAGTTCTTATTAATATATAATTAATAACTATTTAAAAAAAAAAAGAATAAATTTTATTTATTTATAGGTATTTAAAATATATATGTAGAAAACTAAAATAAAATAATTTAAAGAAACATATTTTAAAAAATTATACCTATGAATGTTTTAAGCTTTGTTAATTCAAAAATATTAGCAATTAAATATTTATATATAAAGAAGTTATAATATTTGATGAAAATATAAAGTAAAATAGACAAAATAAATATAATGAAAATTTACAATTTAAATTATAAATATATAAATCAAAATATAAAAAAATTTTTTTATTTATTTTATTTTTTACCTCTTTAGCATTTTTTTATCTTTCTCAATTTTTTATATCTTTTTTTATATAAACAGAATTATAACATTTTTTTAAAAAAACTAATAAAAAAATAATATTTCATTGAAAACGCAGTTGTATATTTAAGGAGGATATTAAAGATAAAAAAAAAAAAAATTAAGAAAAATAATAAAAATATTAATGACAGTAAAATATATAAAATTAAAAATTAACTTATATATATATTTATTTTTAATTGATCTATAAATGTGTAAAATTTTATAAAATGAAATTGAAAATTAAAGACAAATTAAAACATTTAATATTTTTTAATTTAAATTTTTATATTAAACAAAAGATTTTTTTTTATGCTTTATATTTCTTCTATGCAGTTTCTTTAATAGGAACAAGCCATAAAAGGGGAGTATAGATTATTAATGATATCAAATAAAAAATAGCTAAAAAAAAAAAAAAAAAAAAAAAAAAAAAAATTATTACTCAGTACAGAATATTAAAAAAATATTCGAGTAAAAAATAATAAAAAAAAAGAAAAAGAAAAAAAGGATAATATTTTATTATTACTGGTTATTTTAAATGTGTTTCTGTATGATGATATATCAGATAACCATCCTCCTGAAAAATTAAAAAAAATTTTTATATTAAAAAAAAAGAAAAAAGTTTAAATATATAAAGATATGTTTAATTTTTTAGTTAATTAATATATTAACCAAAATATGCACTAATAGACCAAACCAAATAATATAAACTCTGCACACCCATCCATTTTCCTAAAAATAACAGAAAAAAAAGAAATAATATAAATATATATATTTTAATAAGCATTTTTACTTTTTATTTAAACCTGTATCTCTATTTGTGTCGATAAAATCATACAGTATACTTTTATCTATTGAATTTGTACAATTTTGAAAAACACTCCTATAAATATATGGATAATAAGTTGCAAATAAATTATCAATGAATAAATAAATGAGATAAAAAAATTTAACTTATAAAATAATTACCTGAAAACATGAACTTTTAAAACATCTTTGTAATTATGAAGATATGATAATGAGCATAACAACCTGATAAAAAAAAAAAAAAAAAAAAATAAATAAGTAAATGATAATCATAATTATAATATATAAATATTTAAATGAAATTTGTAATAATAACAAAAAACCAATAGATGTGAAAAACAAAGAAACTTGTGCTCTTCCTAGCCTTTTAGACAATTTTTGAGAAACTAAAAAAAAAAAAAAAAATTAATTAAAATTTAAAAATTTGATAAGCTTATTTATATATTTCATTTTTTTTCTAAATATTATTCTTTTCTTATTATACTATATGTAAAAATGCTTAAGAGAACTGGAATTACAATATTAAGAATGCACATTAACATGGGAGATACTTTATACTCGGTTTTCAAAAACAAAGAAAAATATTTAAACGTCATGCCTATAAAAATTTAGAAATAAATATAATTATAAGAAATAAACAATGCTTAATTTAGGTGAAATGTTATTCATTTCCATTTAATATTAAAAATACATAAAAACATTAAAATTACAGAATAATTTTAAAAAATATATTAACCTGCTCCTGCTAAGGTAATAATGTGTGATATAAAAACAATATAAGGAATATGATAACTAGAAAAGCAGAATATGTTTTTCTGATTCTTTTTTTTTGTTATTAAATCGATTTCTTCCGTATTTTTTACTACATTAATATTATCGTTTTCCCACAAAAAACTAATAAATGTTTGTGGAAGAATACTAAGTACAGAAAACTGAAATATTATGAAAATATTTTTAATATTCCATATGTCATTATATAAATAAAATAATATCATACAAAAAAAAGGCCCTAATGTTGTTGCTACGGTGCTTATAAGTTTCTGATAAGTAAATATTAAACTCTTCTTTCCTAAATATAAATTTAAATAAATTTGTATATAATAAAATGTATTTCTTATTCTAATATGTAATATATGATTTTTTAATTCTAAAAAAAGAGAAAAAAAAAAAAAAAAAAATTAATTCATATACTTTACCTTTATCTATACTTTCTATAAAAATAGATTCTGTTATAACATGACAACATTCATGTAGCATTTTAGATAAGGCAGTGACAAATATAATTAAAATTAAACTATTTGTTCTTATAAACATAAAATGAATAATATTCACTAATAAATAAGAGATAGAAATAATTTGCAAAATCTTTTTTCTTTTCTTTTTATGTTTATCACAATAATATCCAACTATAGGTGATATAATTAAACAGACAATAGAATTAATTATTGATAAGAGACCAATAATTTTATTTTTTTGAAATTTTAAATAGATGTAATGATCATGTAAAAATGTATTTCTCATGGAATAATTTATCCTATCAAAAAAATGATAAAAAAACATCAAAATTATATTTATATGCCATTTTCTTTTCTCCTTCCATTTTTTCATTTTTGATTCATCATTTATTCTGTTTTTTATATTATTCCTTTAAATGAAAGAATATGACTTTTGAAATGAATTAAATTCTAACTATTAATTATTTAAATATATATAAAGAAAAGAAAATTTTTAGCCACTTCAAAGAATTACAGCATTTAAAAAATTTATTTCTAAAATTATACAAAAATATAGTAGATAATTTCCTTTAAGATAATCTAAGAAGAAAAAAAAAAAAAAGAAATATATATATATATATATATATATATATATATATATATATATATTTATATATATATTTAAATTAAATAAATAATATAAAAAACAGTAGATATTTTCCCTTTTATTATGTTATATCATTATAATATATATTTACATATATATGTTACTGTGTCATTGTTTTGGATATTGAACCAAAATTAAATAACAATTACAATATTTATGTGATTAATAAACAATTAATAATAATTAATAAAAAAGCTTAGATAGATACACAAGATTCCTTTAAGCTATAATAATATAAATTTTTTTTGAAAAGTATTTTATTAGCAATTTAAACATAGATAAATAATTTAAAAACAAAATTGTTAAAATATATATCTTTTTATAATAAAACAAATTAATAAAAATATACAATCGGTTAATATAAAATAATATAAAAAAATAAATATAAATATTCCGAATAAAAAAATTATTAAAAAATATATAGATTTATTAAATATTTAAAAATTAATATAAAGTTATAAATAAAATACAAAATATGAAAATATAAAAACTCGCTTAATTCTTGTAGATTAACATTTTTTTTTTTTTTTTTTTTCTCCTGTTT